TTATTGGTGCTAGGCTCTCAAACTCCAAGCAATCAACTACTACTACAAGGTAAGTAATGCTACTAGTTTGATTTGATTCAAGTACCCCATGCCATGCTAGTTAGGATAAGAACCTTGGAAAAATAATTATTTTCATGTATCATAGTTAAACATAGATCCAAGGTTTCTAGGGTTGCATGTACACCATAGGAATGTTAGAATGCTCAAAACCCATCAGTATCCCCAAAAAGTTGACTTTGTGTATGTTTCTAAGCTTCCTAACCCAGTTAATCTTTTCTTTCACCCCTATTCCTCTAACATTTAGAGATAGACAATTCATTGTGAAATATTTTTCTCTCCGCTTTCACCTACCACTGCAGCCAGAATTGGGTTGTCGATGTCGATTTGGAACCCAATAGCAGACCCAATCTCTACTGTCTGTATAATTTCCCGTGAGTTCGACTCGCTGCTGCACTCTTCAGAATATACATGGGTGTGATGTCCAGAGGGATCAATATTGAGATCAATGGTTGTCGTTCCCGTAGCAGGTGGGAGTAAAGAATTCGATGTGCAGGAAGTAACAGGTACGGTAATGGGGGATTTGTCTCTTTTCCTTTTCTTAGGTTTCGGGTCACCGATGTTGGATTCAATGTGGAGAGTATGTATCTTATCTTGGGCTTGGATGGATTTAAAAGTAAAAGGAGGAATGCAATTGTTGTTAGGGAATGGCCCAAAGCACCCCCAAGGAACAAGGTTTTCTAATGGTCCAATAGTGGGGGGTATGGGGTTTATTAGGTCAACGATTGGTTGTGTTGTATCCGCTGGTATGGTATTTGATTGTGTCGGTGCAATGGGAGCTCCAAACGTCGCCTCGATATCGTTTGGATCATTAGGTGCATTGATTATTATTTTCGAAATTCCTTTCTGTCAGGTCAACATCTGGATGCCTTTTCGATTTCTCAACCGGAGACGCTTGAGTGTTGCCGCCAATTATTGGGACATCTGATTCCGGCATTGGAGAATTGACTAAGTACGTGCGATTAGGGCAAAATTCCCCATCTTCTTCTGGTTCGTTTTCATCCTCTCCCATCCAGGTGTCTGATATCCCAGCGGTGTCTTCTCCGTCTTCGTCGGCTTCGTCTACATCAGATTCCTCCACTTTGTTGAATGGAACCGGTTTGAACGGTGACCAATAGTCCGTGTATTCCACTACCCCCACCTGGAATTCTTTGCCATTGGATTTGATGATGACCTCTGTGTTAATGCAACTTTTTTCACTCGTGAGGATGCCTACTTTTCCCATGGAATAATCTCTCCTTCCAGCTATATTGTCAAACGGGTTAATCACCTTTCCAAATCGACTTGCTATTAGTGTGAAATTAGATTCATCCCATAGATTGAGCGGGACGCCAAGGATTTTAAGCCATGCTATCCTTTCATATTTCTGTTCGTGTTGATTGGATCGAACTAGCCATTTAAACTAATCTTTCCAGCGACTTTTATCTTCTAGGAATTTAGTAGCATCAATGGAACAATCGAAGTGGATGGCAATTCTGAGTCCACCCAGATATTTGGTCTCTTCATTCACCACATGAGAGTAGTGCATCGTTCCTAGGTGGTCTAAACTGTGTGCTTCCCCAATTAATACATTTTTTTAGCCACTCGTTCATATAGGTATTAGGATTTAGTATAATGGAAGATTCATTGCTCTTTATCTGTTCGTTTCTGTTCATGTTCCCAGATAGGGCTTGAGCATAAGTTTTATTACCTTTGCATATCAGAATCTAGTATGAGCCATTTCGAGAGGCGGTGTTTTGTTTCATGGGTTGTGCAGTAGCGGTCGTTCTCCATTTGTCTCCTAGGGATTGAATTGGCTTTCGTTGATGCTTTGAGATGTTGATTTCCATCGCCTTCCCCCTGCAATTGATGCCTTGTAATTTCTTCTCCAAGACTTTGGCGTCTTCAACTTCAGTGAATCTTACGAATGCGTAGTTCCTTCTCTGGTAGTCCTTCTTCCATCCAAAGTAGACATCGATCACTTTACCAAACCTGGAGAATGGTTCTCGAAGTTCTTCTTTTTTTATTCCATCCGGAAAGCCTGCTACGTAGAAGTTTGTGACTCTGTTCTTTACCTGAGATCTGTTGTCGGATCTCCGTCGCCGGACCTCCGTCCACTCTCCGTTTGGAAGATGACCTTTCATCTCCCCTCTCATTGGTGGACAAATTAGTAGATTTAGGTGTATGTGTTTAGCCGTTTTAAAAAATAAATTATTTCGAATAGTATTATCTTTCTCTCATAACAAAGTATTTACAATTTCTTTTAGTAACATATTATTTGTATTATAGTACCTCAATCCTATTCAGTTTTAATAAGTCTATGAATTCGTTGATTTCAAATTACGATGTTCCACCTTTTAATCTAAAATTTGGAAGCAATCAAGTAAGGGTATTCTGGTCAATCTAATCTTTTATGCATATTGTTAAATAAATCTAAAATTTTAATTACGCTTTAAATTTACTTATTATTCTTTTCTGTTTTAATAAATTTAATTACATCAAGTTTTTGTAGATTTTAGAACATTTGTATTCAAGAATAATCATAAGTTGTAAAATTTGGATGAACAATGTCAAACCTATCTGCAGGCACATCATGTGGGGCGTAAATCATAAATAACTCAATATTTCGGTCATACCGGTGTTTGAACATTGTAACTTATTTATGCAATTCCACACCTCAACCAATATTCATCCATCTAGAAAGAATTCATTATATTGTAATAAACATAATGATGGTAGTGAATTCCATATATCAACCAAAAGACATCCATACCTCAGTGAATGTACTTTGCTTTCATATATTGAAATATGTGAAGGTGCTTTTCTTTCTGGTGTTTCATCAAGCATCTTAGGGCGAGGGAGATAGGGTGATCGGGTTAAGCCATTGTGAGTGTCTTCAAAGATAAGGCTGATGGAGAAGCGACTACAGGTTTCATCCCAACCTTGAGACACTAGAATATGCTTTTTTTGCTACCCTAAATCTTAGCTGGAATATGTTTTGTGGTATCTAGTTGGGCACGGTGTTTGTAGGCTTAAGATGTGGCTTATTGGTGCCGGCGACAACATGAACATGATTCACCGGAGCTATAAAGACCGCCTCTGTGTTGGCTGTGGTAGGCTTTGGCTCTGCGCTTCCAAAAAGGTAGTCGAGTGAAAAATAGTGGAGGTTTCTTCAAATCCGAATTCTTCAAAACCAACAACAATACTTGGAGTTTGATTATGGGTATTTTTGTTTCAGATTCTTGAAATGGCTTCTTTTTGGGGAGAGAGAGAGAGAGAGAGAGAGAGAGAGAGAGAGAGAGACCTTTGTATATTAAAAGGAAGAAGACGATATGTGAATGGGCTAGAGAGAGAGAGAGAGGTGGGATCCTTTAT